GTTTATGTATTTATGTATAAATATATATATGTATATATATATGTATATATGTAAAATGTATATGTGTATATGTGTATATATGTATATATGTATTTATGTATATATGTATATATGTATAAATGTATATATGTATTTATGTATATATAAATATATATATATATGTATATATGTATAAATGTATATATGTATAAATGTATATATGTATTTATGTATAAATGCATATGTTTATATATGTATATATGTATATCTATGTATATCTATCTATATAAATGTATATATGTATGTATGTATGTATCTATGTATCTATCTACGTATCTATGTATGTATCTATGTATCTGTGTATATCTATCTATATATCTAGCTATCTATATATCTATATATCTATATATCTATATATCTTTTAATATATCTATGTATCTATATATCTATATATCTATATATCTATTAATATATTTATGTATCTTTGTATCTATGTATCTATATCTATATATGTATCTACGTACATATGTATATATCTATGTATCTATGTATATATCTATCTATATATCTATATATCTATATAACAATATTCTATATAATTATATAACAATATAACTAGATATCTATATAACATTATATATATATATTATATATATATATTTATTATATTTATATTTATATATATATATTTTATATCTATATATATTTATATATATATATAAATATATATATATATAAATATTTATATACATATACATATTTATATATATATATATATATGTATACTGATATAGACAAAGATATAGATATAGATATATGTATGGATAAATATATATAGATATATATATAGATATATATATATCTATCTACCTATGTATCTATCTATGTATCTATCTATGTATCTATCCATGTATCTATCTATGTATATATCTATGTATCTATGTATATATCTATGTTTATAACTATGTATATATATATGTATCTATGTATATAACTATGTATCTATGTATATTTCTAAGTATCTATGTACATGTCTAAGTATCTAAGTACATATCTATGCATGTATGTATATATCTATGTATCTATGTATGTATCTATGTATATAACTATATCTATATATCTAAATCTATATAATTATATAACTATATAACTATATAACTATATATAAATATATATTATATGTATACACTATATATGTATTTTATATATATATATATTATATATATACTATTATATATATAAATATATAAATATATAAATATATAGATATAGATATATGTATATATGTATATATATATGTATATATATATTATATATCTATCTAACTATCTATCTATATTTATCTATATCTATCTAAGTATATATCTATCAGTCTGTCTATATCTATCTATCTATCAGTCTGTCTCTATATCTATCTATCTATCAGTCTGTCTCTATATCTATCTATTTATCAGTCTATATCTATCTATCTATCTATCTGTCTATATATTTATATATCTATATATCGATATATCTATATATACCTATATATATCTATATCTGTATCTATATATATATCTATATATCTGTATCTGTATCTGTATCTAAATATATCTATATACCTATATCTATATATATATCTATATATATATCTCTATATATTTCTTTATCTCTATATCTTTATATCTATCTATATATCTATGATGAATGATTTGGTGTCCTTCCTCAACCATGCGTGTCAGTAATCCGAGCTTTTCCGTAGTATTGGACAAAACTTTACCTTGAACGAAGAACGTGGCCGGAATATCAAACAGCTTCAGGACATCCAATATCTTCTCTGTTCTCGCTCGCACACCCTCCTCATATACCGACCCGGGCCCGTCGTCGAAAGTGAGAGCCACCGTCCCCGGCTGTTGGCAGCGCCACCAAATGTTTGGATGCGTTTGCCAAAAGTCTTTAATCCAGGTGTTACCGTAGTATCCATCAATAGGTGTTTGATTGATACCGCTCACAACTGCACCCTTGACACCTAAACTGATAAACAGTATAGCAGCTATAAACAGCTGCAAGTGTCGCCTGCAACCCATGGTTTTGGTTTCGTTAAAGTCTGGTATATATGTGAGATTGGCACGGACAGGCTGGCGCTCTATGATTTGATCGCCACAAACACCAATAAGGTAGTGATTTGAGAGCTATACTAGTATTAATCGTCTACACGAAGAAGATAGTGATGCGAGTGCTCTAGTAGTATTAATCGTCTACACGAAGAAGATAGTGATGTGAGAGCATTAGTTGTATTTAACCGTCTACACTAGAGATTATAAGGGTTAAAGAATGCCTTTGTCAGTATATATATATACGGTCAGACATCGTTGGTGGATATACTCGGGATTGAAGAATTTACAAATCACCAAAGAACCTTCTCTTAAAACAAGTTTGTGTATGCGTTTCTTGCCGTTCTCCCTTCGGGTCTTTACCAGCGGTTCACAGCATGTTTCACCATCCATTGATTACACAAATGGAGTATTCCGGAAGTGGTACCATGGATTTTTGTTTAATCATGACGTTCGACGATTTTTGTTTAATCATGACGTTAGACATCACTGAATCATAAAACCAGGTATGTATTGTTCACCTATAAGTACACCCATAACTCTCCCATGGCCCTCGACCACTAGTAGCTGGTGTGATACAGAATGGAGCTGAATAGATACGTAGGAACTCTTATCCGAGCTTCTACATCGCGGAACGATCTCGAGGAAACCTCCGCCTCATTTCTGAAAAATATTCTGTTGCATTTTTAAAAGGGAAAAGTCTCTCACTCATGACCCTCTACTCTTATTTGCCTACTATCATTTTAAAATAGTCGTTCATCTAAATAACACCTTCTTCGGGGCTAGGATGTTAACACAACCAAAGCGAAAGCTGGCATACTTTTTCTTTTTTGTTATTGTTTTTTATATTTAAAAAGGAACAAATTTCGAAAATACAAACCAACGAAAAGTCTCTCACTCATGACCCTCTACTCTAATTTGCCTACTATCATTTTAAAATAATCGTTCATTTAAATAGCAACTTCTTCGGGGCTATGGTTATTAACACAGCCATAGCGAAAGATGGCATACTTTTTCTTTTTTTGTTATTGTTTTATATATTTGTTAAAAAAAACAATCGAAAATACAAACGAACAAACAAATCAACTTTATCATCATCATCATTATCAACATGCAGGCGAGGAACATTTGATATTTTTTTCAATTCAAAAATAGTATACAGCTGACATCACGTAGCGATGGTTTATATTTATATTTGTTTTTAAAACCAAAACCACAAAAAGTTTGCCTCCATTTCATTCGCGGTGGATAATTTGTGATTGACCTTGCCTTATGATAGGTTGATATTCTTGTTTTATTTACAATACCTTCCTCTTGATGCATATACTTGAACGGGTACAGACACGCGGTCTACAGAGCAAAACTTCGTTTGGGGCTGCAGCCATACCATTGGCCTAATTACCGATACAGTGGTCGGGGAAGTCCGTAAGATCGATCTTTTATACTCCCTTCAGTACATCTAAGGCAGAAAAAGATCGATAAATACTCCAGACACCATTTTTAAGACATAATCTCATTTGTTATTGGGGAAGAATCGGTGCAGCATCACTCCTTTAGTAGCGGGCCACTCAAGGGGACTTCAAGGTTGTCTAGAGTACATCACCGCAGGAGACGGGAAAAGTCGTCTTACACAAAGACGTAAGCGGAACCCTGTCACTCATAAAACTTGAGAAATGCCTTGAAAAAAAATACTGGCTTCATAGTTCATGGTAGTGATACAGTACTCAGAATACGAGATTTAAACAGCTTTGAGCCGTCGTACCGCGAGCCCTGACCATATAACGTAGGATATTGCTCCGGCACGTTTATTTAGGTAAAAGCCCATGGAACGTTAAACGTTGATCCGGTAAATTTCGATACACATTTTTTATTTCTTTTACTAAGTTCGGATCTAGTCGACAGTAAATAGCTGCCACCCTTCTGAACAGCATTTTCTCCGTGATATGCGCCTTTAACATTCTCGCCAGCGTTATCAGCGTAAAAACATAGCAATTCTCAAGATACTATATGATATGATACCAATGGATGATGCCAACTTCAGTGACCAACTACGTGGCCGCGTGATACTAATACCCGGTCCTTTGCCTTTTCCTTTTAACTTCCTTGTGAGAGAATGAGAAACACCCGAACCACACTCCGCTCATTCCCGGGCCATTATCGCCCGCAGGCGGACGCACCTTACTATGCACCCCTACCTTGCCGCATGGGAACCTGCAGTACCGGTGGTATCAGCAATTCCCACGACAGCATCGGCACCATTAAATCGGCAGACACTGTAGCAACCACCCACACTGAAACCTACCCAGGATTTGTTTTGGGTGTTGTCTTCCCGTTCTACAATGAGACTCGCCAGGAAATGGAACGCTCGCTGCACCAATTCCAGACACAACTTGATGTAGCAAACTCGGATTCGCGTACGGCTTGCACTGAGCATATACTCCTGACAATGGACGGCTGGGACAAGTGCAGTGATTCGATGAAGACCTACCTT